GTTCATGTGTAAGATACAGTGAAAGCGTGAGAAGATACCTGTTTAATGCGGGAGCTCTGCTGTTTGTCGCTGGCATTGCTGGCCAGTTTGAGGTACTCGGCCACATTCTCGTCGCGGGCCGCCTGCTCGATGCGCAGCTGCTCCGTGAGCTTCAGGATCTTCTGCTGCAGCTGTGCGATGGCCTGCCGTGTGCGCTGGGGGTCCAGCCCGGTGTCCTCCGAGCCCAGCAGCGAACCGTCAGCCCTGCACGCCGCCACCAGACCGCCCTCCAGCCTCTCGATCTGGAGAAACACAGAGAAGAGGGAGGGACACACAAGAGAAAAGGCATGTCACTTCTTGGAAAATAGGTCTTTCCGTGTCTTTCTGCTGACACAATGAAGCAATCGCCCGCTTCTGCAATCGGCATGCATGCAGACGGGGCTATTAAAGGTCAACATCTCCACCAGACCAAGGGCTTTGTGAAAAGATCGTAACCACTCACGTTTTGAATGACTGTTAAATGATGATTTGATATAAGCATGAGGTAATGTAATATTGTTCATGTTTTGTTATTATACCGATGCAGAGGAACATGTTCGTATAGAGAGTTGGAAGCCTGCACTAAAATGACATTCAGTCAAATAGCTCTGATCTTACTCGAGCACAGCAGAGAGCGAGTCAACCGGACGTGAAGCGGTACATGTTCAAGAGCGCAGGCTGAAATGACACAATGTTGCATGATCTCACCAGCGCGTCCGCGCGACTCCGTCTTTAGAGCGTTATAACGGGTTATAATGTGTGTAATGTAAGCAGAGCCCTCACTCACTCACTCACCTTCCCGCTCCGCGCTCGCAGCAGCTGCTCCCAGTGCATCTCTTCATCGTTCTCTCTCCTGAACTTCACTAGCTGAACTCGAGCTCGAGCTCCTCCCGCGTGCAGCTCTGAACATGACGTCATCCCTAAAAGCACCGCTGATCACGATCGCCGCTCGAACCGAACCCTGCAACGACTGCTGACTTCAACCGGATCCGTATGTTGATTTATTCTTAAGGCTCTGTCTGGTTACTGCTGTTGCGATATTGAATAATTGTACATAGATGCATTTATTCAGTGTGAACAACTGGCTCAGTCTTGCCTCTCGCTTGTGTTCTCGGAACGGACTCACTTTTCAAATGAATAAATAATAACAGAGAATGCTTGGAGAATATGGATGCATTAGAAATTCTTAATATACAGGAAAATGCAGATTATAAAATTCACCGATATTTCAACATGGGAGCCCTGTTCAGTCAGTCATTTTAAACAGAATGCATGATTCTAGAAATGAGTATAACAGCACTTTTAAAAATAAAAAAGCATAGGATGTCATTAAATGAAAACCTACATGAACACCATTTGGCCAAATATACAAAATGCACTTCTTTTTTTTAAATCTTTGAATAAAAGTCATGAATGAAAAAAAAACTTTTATGTATCTGCTATTTTAACTTTTTTTTTTTACCTATGAATTAGCCCACCACAGTATAACAAAGTGTTAATAAAGCCATACTACAATAATAACCTTTTGCAGAGTAATTCTCTAAAAACAACAGTATGAAGTTGCATTGCATAAAGCTTCTAATGACACAAGACCAGGATTCCTGCACTGATTTAACCAGACAGCTGCAGATTTCTCAGTCTATGGCAACACTATCTGTTTACAGTCCAGCACAATATTTGTGAGGTCTGTAATCTGCAGAGATAGAGCAGGCGGAAGGAATGGGTGATTGAGGACAAACCCAGAGAGACTGACCGGTTCTGCCATAAAGCCCATCACAAGCACACAAACAGTAAACAATTAGCAATTCAGTTGCTCATATTCATTAAAGTCACACAGGTGTTCATAGACAATATTATATAAGCAATAATGTACAGTCAGTCGGCATTATGGGAAATAAACCCCAACAGCATGATCAAGCCTTGTGTAACCCTGAAGAAGTTCATTTTACAACAACGTCTGGCTGACTAATCATTATTACACTTAATACATCGCTCCTTATCAAATACATGAATACATGGACATTAAATATTTGAGTTTTGATTCATTGGTTTTTATTATATTCATATTATGTGAGAGACTCTCAGAGTTTATGGTAGGCCTGCCATGAAAGGTTTATATTTTATAGTCTTAATAAAACAAAAAATGCTGAAGATGATTTTCACTTCCAGAAGCCTGCAGATGTGCTCTAAGTCAAGTCACCTTTATTTATATAGCGCCAGTGTATGTGCAGTAAGCCTGATCCGCATGCAAGTGCACTCCAGCAGCACGCTTCTTATACCACACAAAGAACATGCCTATACCTGCCCAAAACAACAGCCTTCTGTCAGAGCGCTTTCAGCCACATATCACTTCAGTCGAAAGTCAAACCAAAAGGACACGGATAACAGTGTGGAAACAGGACTTGCAGTTATTCACTTACTGTACGCTTTGCCCTTTTTAAAGACATTTTCTGCTAGCTTTGTGGTAAAATCTGTAGAATTCCCAGCAGTGAATTTACAAACTAGTCAAATGTGCTGAACAGAGCTGAGCACTGCTCAGAGGCCCAGAAAAACGAGTCCTGCACCGGCCTCGAAGGCTTGCTGGTCTGGAATCAGGAACTGATTGTGAGAAAAATTACCATCTGAAGGAAGAAGACTGGGAAAGAAATGCTGAACGATAGTTTCAGCCGCAGCAGTCGTGCCCACAGACCAGAACACACAGGCTCTCCAAGAGATATGGAAATATAGTATTAGCTAACAGTGAACTACCACAGCCGACTAAGCACTATTACTAATCCATTAACCAGAGTTTCTTGTTAGTTACTAGAGTGCTAACACTGTGTTACTCATGTAGTTATTCATCAATGTCGGAACAGTACTCTACGGTAGTCCTGCATAACCAGATCGTTGACTCTCTCTATGGCATGACATCTGAGTCTGACACAACCTGCCCTCAGACAACTCAATGATGTCAATCAGATGGTCTCTTACTGTCTGAGTGAGTGGTTCTTGATCAAAAGATGAGCTGACACGTCATGACTACTGTGTTTTGGCATCTGATAGAGCATTTGGACCCAGAAACAGTGAGGCATGCATCAGACTTAACCAGTGGATATCAGCACGCATCTCCCATGAGCACCTGTGACGCTCATTCATCACTGACAGTGTTACTGTGTTACTGCAGGCCGATGGAGCAGATCTGCTCTTCAATCTGAATCGATTAGCTGTGTTAATGTGATCTACATTTATACTTCTATCTGAAGTGGATTTTCTGCGTCACTGCATGTCCTAGACGTTCTGTGACTGACTGATACACTAGTGTGTGTACTACATGCACTTCCCTGTTTACACCTGTGTTTACACCGTTCACTTGATCTGAACACTCATGACGTGAATGGATCATATGCCTTCCTCATTCTTATGTTTGCTCAGGTGATTACTAATGCTTTTGCTGCCTTATAAACAACTATTACAGCGGCTGCAGCGGATCCACGTGCCACTTATCAAATATCAGAAGGCAATCTAGCAGTGGCACAGGTCTGAGCCTCAATAAAGACACACGACAATGCAGAGCTGTACTACATTACTCCTGGAAGTGAATGAAACTTGTAATACATTGAATTACACA